CATGTATTAAAAAATATCCATACTTAATAAAAGATGATTGCACTTTTCAAGCCTTGAAAATAAGCACCTAGAAGAAGTATGTACTTGAAATATCTTGTATTATTAGCATAAAGATTAATAACTATCCTTGATTTGTATTGTTTAGCATGATAAGAATTGATAGAAACTTCTGAAAGGTTATATTATGTGCACCTTTAATATAGGTGATAGTTTCTTCATAAAACTACCAATCTTGTCAGTAGGATTAACAACCGTTCGATCCCTCATTACATCAAATATGATTATCTTTAGCTTTAAATTAAAATTAGATTTGACTAGCTCTCCTTAATTATATGTCTATATGTTAGGTTGAACTTTTTGGTACACTATTGATCTAACATTCAAAGTATACGATGTTTTCCTTTATGGCTTTTAATCTCAAACATATTTGACTATAATAACTTCATAGCATAATTTCCATTTTTCTATGAAGTGCAATGAATATATCATAAATATTTATCTAATTTATTCACTTAATTTTCTCTTAATATCAAGATTTAACATCATTTTTAACTCATCGTTGCTCTTAAATATTTTTCGTGCTTATAAAATAACTTGAAGGAAATTCAAGCATGATGTCATTAATGTAAACATCAATAGAACTAGAAATACTTTAAGGCACAAGCCTTTACAGGATTGTTGCAAAAGACAGGAGTGGAGTAGGGCTTCGTTTCTGGTGGTATTTCGCACACAGTAGTCTTGTTGTTGCCTTCACCGTGAGAAACAACATGGAATTGCGACTTAGGTGTGAGGAAGTCAGTGGACCTTCATTTCTAGAGGTGTACTTGATGGCAGGGGCAAAGGATCGAAGCAGCTGCAGTTTGGCGTGCAAGGCAAAGGCGTTGCGGTTGGTGAGAGCTATGGCAAAGTGGATCGCATGAACTTGTAGGAAAGAAGTCATGTGTGATCTTTGGGATCTAGACTTGATCTTTGTGATTGAGAATGTCAAAAGACAAAGATAATGCATGAGGTAAGGGATTGGAATTTCTGGGGAAGAAAGATCCTAAAGTTCTGAAGGTCTTGGTCGGTCTCATACATGGAGACAATCCGACAAAAGCTACTTTCTCAACACTTGCTATGACACAGGTGAAACTTGATCTTCCTCCCGTAGATCTGAAGCTTGATGGACCAACCACTTATCTGAGTTGGTCACGGAATCGAGACTACTCTAGACTAGAATGATACATGAAGGGGTCGAGCCAAAAAGTGACAGTACTGAGAGGGATGAGTGGAGAATCACACATGCCTTGATTTACACCTAGTCACTTAACTTGATGGTTCTATCGATTGTCTCATCAGTGCATGACATTAAAAAGTTTAGCAACTTTTGCGCAAAGTTGAAGAAGATCTATGCTGGAGCTGAGAACCACATGAGGGTGTTTCAGATTTAGCGTAAGATAGAGACAGTGCTTCAACGTGATATATCAACCCATAGATTTGGAGCGGTTGTGGCAAGATCTTTACCACTTTTCATCTATGTCAAGCTGTAGTGATTTGGGATGCAAGAAGGAGGAGATCTTTGCAAATATGAGGATTATGCAATTTCTGGCTCATCTGAACCCAACCTTTGATCAGAGGATATCAGTCATCTTAGCTCAAGAAATAATTCCTTCATTAGATAAGGCCATCGTAGTGATGATATAGGAGGAGAGTCGCATGAGGCTGCACTGAGTTGAGTGGACTTCTAGGCATATGATCAGCTTTGACCGCCTCAGGTGAAGGTATGACTGGTGTTCAGGGGGAGACTTGCAGGTGCTATAACTGTGGAGAAGTTGGATACCAGAGTAAGGTTTATCCAAAAGCACCCAATGAGGGAGAGAGACTGGTGAACATGGATAATCTAGAGGTCGTGATCGTGATCGAAATTGTGGGGGGCAAAGAGGTGGAAAAGGAGGCTACCAGGCAAAGCTTACGGTAGCTGAAAATAAGGGAGAGATAGGGGTGATCTTTATCGATGAGGATCACAAGCTCCTGAAAATATTGAAGAGGAAGTAGAAAGCAACATTTGATATGACTGAGAATGCACCCACCTTATCATATTCAAAGGAAAGCACTGCTACTTATGCTCACTCTGCCAAAGGTACTCGTCATACACATGCTTTTGTCGCTATATTCACCATAAGATCACCATAATGGATAGTAGATTTGGGTGCATCTCAACATATGACAGGTAACATTAATGATTTCACTTCCTATACTCATCTAACAGTTCCAAAGGACATTCAGATAACTAATAGTACAATACAACATGTAGTAAGGATGCAGTGAGATGTACTAATTCTATGATTTTGTCTAATATTTGCATGCTCCTTTTTTAGTGAACCTTTTATCCATTTGCGTAATTATTCTCCGACTAAAATGTATTATTTTCATTCATATTCCTAAAGTGATCTTTCTAGAGAAGGGGATTGGCTATATACTTGGGACTGGCACATCACATAGTGGACTCTAATATCTGAATAAAGAGAGAAACAACTCAGCACGGACATCCATGGTAGAACATGCAAGAGTAGGAAGATTTAGGAGCTTGGAGGGCGTGTTATTGTACATCACAGGCACATGAGACACTATTTATTTAGTCTTTTGAGACATTTGTATTCGTCTTTGTATGAGAAGATAAATAAACAAAAACCTTGTGTGATGCATGCGAGTTGGGTAAACATACCAGGTACTCTTGTGTTAGTTTTGGTAATATAATTTCTTTTGTTTTTGATTTGGTGTATTTAGATGTGTGGGGATCTTATTCTACAACTTCGATAAATTTTTATAGATATTTTGTGAATTTTATTGATTTTTTTTTGTTGCTTGGTTATATTTGATGAGGAATAAAAGTGATGTGCTTACCTGCTTTAAAAATTTTCACAGGGCAATTCATACTCAATACGATGCAGTAGTGAACATATTGATGTCTTATAATGAGACAATATACCAACAAAGCATTTGGAGAGCATGCAGTTCAGGGTATACAACATCAAACCACTTGTCCACACACACCGATACAAAACAGAGTAGCAGAAAGAAAGAAACAACATCTTCCAAAGGTAGCCCAAAGTATGATTTAGGGTATGATGATTACGATGAATGTCTCAAAATACTTGTAGGGGCAAGCAATTTTGACAGCCGCTCAACTAATCAACAGAATGTCTTCAAGAGTGTTAGGGTGGCAATATCCTTGTGAGTTGTTGAAATAAGATAGAGGCGGGATTTTTCCATTGAATGTATTTGGTTATGTATGTTTCATGAAGTACAATAGACCATCAAAAGTGAAGCAGACTCCCGAAAGAAAGAATAATCGTTACAAAGCACGATTGGTGGCGAAAGGTATGGTTAAATGTATGACATCGACTATGATAAGACATTTGCACTAGTGACAAAGATGAGCATAATTAGGAGACTCGTCTTTGTAGCTATGAATAGTGGATGGGTTGTACACCAATTGTATGTGAAGAATGCATTTCTTCATGGGGAGAGGAGATGTACATGGAGATACCCCCATGCTTTGACACAAACCAAACAGTGGGTAAGGTATGTGGACTAAGGAAGTCAATGTACAATTTGAAATAGTCTCCTCGAGCTTGGTTTGATAGGTTCATAAGAGCAATGATAGACATGGGCTATAAACAAATCAATGTCGACCAAACAATGTTCTTTCAAAATGATGGTCACATTACTATTCTTGCTATGTATGTAAATAATATGATTGTCACTGGTGATGATGAGGGAGAGCTTGCTCGGCTGAAGACAAGTCCGAGCAAAGAGTTTGAGGTGAAGAAAATGGGACAATTTAGATATTTTTTGGGATTGAAATGACTCGTACATCAGATGGGATTTTTCTATCTCAGAGGAAATATGTGCTAAACTTGCTCACAAAGATAAGAATGTTGGGATGCATGCCAACAGTTACACCAATTGATCAGAAGAAAAAGTTGAGCGCAGAGGTAAGAGAGCCAGCTGATCGTGAGAGGTACCAGAGCTTCGTGAGTTGTCTCATCTAAGTCACACTCGTCCTCACAAATCATGTGCAGTAAGCATGGTGAGTCGTTACATGCATGATTCGAGGAAGATCCGTATGGATGTAGTATATCAGGTTCTGAGGTACTTAAATAGTGCACTAGGGAAGGGAATGATTTTCAGGAAAAATGGGCATTCAGGCATTGAGGACTATTGTGATTCTAATTGGGCGAGGTGTGTTGATGACAGGAGGTCCATATCAGAATATTGCATGTTTGTAGGGGGCAAGTTGGCCTCTTGAAAGAGCAAGAAGCAGTTGGTAGTTGCAAGGTCAACGATAGAAGGAGAGTACAAGGCCATGGCCTTGGGAGTTATCGAAATGTTATGGATGAGAACTTTATTAGTAGAGCTCAAGATGGATCAAGGAGCTCAAATGAAGTTGTGATGCGACACCAAGTCAACAATCAACATTGCCAACAACCCAGTGCAGCACGAGAAAACCAAGCAAGTGGAGATTGACAAGTTCTTCATCAATGAGGAGCTGAATAGTGTACTAAAGATAAGCCAAGTAACTACTAGAAGACAAGTAGTTGACTACCTCATCAAGAGACTTGGCTCATTAGATTTATCCAGGTTATGTAACAATATGAGATTAGTGGATATCCAGGTTGAGCCAATCCTGAGGGGAAGTGTTGATAAGTGTATATAATTTATGGTCCTATTTGTAAATAGAAAATATAGAAGAAGTCAAGAATTTTATTTTTAAGAAAGTTGTAAGACTATATAAGCCAATTTCTTTTCATAAATAGATGAAGTTTTCTAGCAAAATCATTTTAATTCAAACCATTCAATTTTTTTAATGCATGTCGTAAACTGCTAATTACAACAAAATATAAATAAATAATAAAAATAACCTTAATCGCGGATATAAGCCTTCTAAACCGTGAAAATATTACTAATTTCTGACAAAAAACTTATAACCAAACCATTGTCGACCATTAAAATCACAATTAAAGACCATGAAAATATTACTAATTTCTGACAGAAAACAGATAACCAAACTACTGTCCACCATTAAATTCACAGTTAAAGCTAATCAAACTTCCGGCTAATGAGAGAGGCCCGTAAGTTGCTAAGAGAAACGAAACCAACAATCTTATAGTCTAGCAAGCCTTTATGTCCCCCAAATTATTAAAATTCAAGGTGACTTAACACATTTACCAAACGACTGCAGATACAACACAAGTCATTTTATTTATAAAAGCTCAACTTTCCTGAGAAAATAAAACTACCTTCATGGAATTGGGTATATGACAACTTTACCAGTAGCTCTCCCGGTCTCAAGATAAGAAAACGCATCAACCACCTTCGAGAAAGGGAATGGACCCTTCGGATCATTAAGAGGCGTAATCTTTCCGCTCTCCAGAAATGGATTCAGCTTCGTTAAAACTGCTCCGTCAGAAGTGAGAACAAATATGAAACCTGGAGGTGAAAGAGGACCAGTGATTCCCACCACAGTTCCGCCTTCTTTTACTGCTTTGGCTCCCGTGTCGCCTAGCCCTGCGTTATGGAAATTTATACTAAGAGATGAAGAAAATGACAGGAATCTACTAAGCATTTCTTTGAGCAGTAAGGAATGCTGTGTATAATTTATATAATTCATTTCAATCTAAAGAGGATAATGAATGGAATATTTTAGAGTAAAAGAATATCAAAAAGAAGTTGAAATGAATGTATTATAATATAGAAAGATAAAAAATGAGAGAAAAAAAGCTACTTATATTATATTTATAATATATATTTCTAAGTTATAATAATGTTAGATTTACTTGAGCAACATACTAGAAAATTATAAGACTGAAACAAAAAAAAGAATAAAAAAACGTAATTTCATTGTCTCAATTTAGAAATTTAAATGGGAGTTAATGAACAATATCATATTGAATATGAGATTGGAGAAAAGTTGAGTTAATCCAAGAGAATAAATAAAAAAAATATTAAAAATTTTTAATCAAAATCCATTATCTATGAGTTTAAGGAGTATTTTTTCATTAAAAATGAGTACATATTGCATAATCCTATTTTTAAAATATAAAAAGAATACTTTATGAGCGAATGGTTTGTTTGTGATTCAATAATAAAAAGGTTCATGTGGTTTCATCTCATAATTTGCATCAAGAATTTACAAGTTATATACAAATAGATACATAAGCTAAACATCAAAATATGAACTTGGAGCCTTTGCAACTTGAGGATGAGCAATAAATAATGAATCAAGATGATTCAAAAAACTAAAATAAAGAACTTATATAGATTGAATACATAAATACCCTAAAAAATTTCAGGATGATGAACTTAAAAATATAATCATAAAAATTTTATTTAAATTGTATGTGTATTGTCAAGCCTTTCGCTCCATTCCTAAGACATTGCTATATATCAAAGAGAGTTATTGAGCGAAAGGCCATATCTTCAAAAAGTGAAACCAGAACAAGTGTTCATTAATTAAACTCATCAGATCAAATTAGAGTAATAAATTTCTCTCAATTTTTAGTTTTATTGCGGTGTAATTTCCATTGTATATGATATAATAATTTTGATACCAAGATTCTATAAGTTTTGTAATAGCTTGGTGGCGGCTTTAGTCACCACTATAAGTACTAGATCGCTTTAGAGGAGTGTGTTTCAATACATATTTTGTTAAGCTTAAAATTACAGGTGATTCTCTTGTCCATAATAAAGGCAAGCGTACAATTTCCTGCTTAGGGAAGAGAGTGTGAGGGCAAGATTCTACTTGATGGAAAAGATTACAAGGGTTTCCACGCCCCCAAGTCGCCAATGAAAAAATTACGTTTAGTAAGATTCAACGTATGATGGGTTCTTAGGAGTGGACATAGGGCATTGGGTAGGTTGAATCACATAAAAATATTGATTGCATCTATTTTATTCTATAATTAGACTTTCTTTGATTGTGCATATTATTGTTTTTTATGCTCTCTCATTCATATCGTGATTTACTCGATAAAATAATTTTAATGCTTGAGTAGTTGAGTAATCTTAGTCAATACACTTAAAATAATTATAGTAGACTTGTTAGAGATAAATCCAAACTAATTATGAAAATTTTTTGTATCACGTCTTAACTTATTTTCAATTACTCTCTCCCATAATTTTAATATATGACACATTAACTAAATTTCTCTATAATTTGCACACTCTTATGCAACCCTTTATTCATAAAAATGAGGACTACAATACTCTTCCTCCACTCCTAAGACATCTTTTTAATTTTTTAAAGGATATTAAAAAGTTTAGTAAGCCAAAAAACTCCCAAATCTCCTAAATATTTTTATACTTTTATTGAAATACCATCACACCCTACTGATTTTCCACAATTGATTTTCTTAAATGCCTCTCAACTTCATTTTTACTAATGCGACGGTAAAAATAAAAACAATACTAAGATCACTAAAGTCAATTGTATTATCAAAATTTTTATTGAAAGTTTAGGGGATGAACTTAAATGACAAAAAGTGTGTATAATTATAGTTAAGCTTCAAACTATTCACATTGTATTTGCGATTGACACTCACCTCATGACTTATCACATCTTATATTACTTTTAATTTTATCCACTGACCTTTTTATCCAGTCATCAAACTTGTAACTTTACATATCATTATATTATTAATTGATTTTGTTGTACATATTTTTTACTAAAGTTTCCACACAACTGTGAATGGGGTTTGAGCTGGGAAAAAATTAAAAAAAAAAAAAAGGTTCAAAAAACTTGCGCACACAACGAAGTTGCCCTTCAATATCAGGCAACCAACTCCTATAGCATTTAGGAGTGGTAGGTAGAAAGCTTGAAAGGTTTAGGTAAATGAAAGTAAGCAACATAATTTTAGAGGCTATGTAGAAGATTTTCGTTAACAAATATGTAAGGGTTAGGTAGAGAGAGAAAGAAATTTATCTCCCCATCTTAACAATTTTGAGCATCAAGTAAATTAATAACTGTGATGGTTTATTTATTCTAAAATTCATAAAGAAATTCACACACATGGGTACATGGATGTACTCATACATAACATAATTTGCTTAAGTAGCAAACAAAAAAGCATAAGATTAAAAAATGAGAAAATATAATTTAAATATCACAATTTAAGTTCAAACTATAATGACACTAATTGATATCATATTGAATATTAGATAGGAAAAAAAGTTGAATTCATGCAACAACAACAACAACAACAAAGCCTTAATCCCACTACGTGGGGTCGGCTACATGAATCCTTTTTCTCCATTGCGTCCTATTTAGTGTCATATTTTCATTTAGTTCTAGTAAATTAA